CATTAGTATTGGTAATTGGTATCGGCAAGTACTTGATTAAAAGTATCGGTACTCGTTCTTGGTCTGGAAAAAATGGCATTGGTGCATCCCTACTATACGCATTTACTAGATGTCCATTATAACCTCTTTCAATGTATTTAGGCACTCCCACGATTATTGTATTTTGTGGTTGTATAATTTTGGCCTGTGTGCAACCTGTTTTACATCTTGAATTCATCTGTTTCATGTTCAACTTTTGAAAACTCAATAAAAATCTTTGAACCAGAAAAAAAGGTGTTTCTTACATATCTATCAGCAAATGCTCCTCAGGTCCCACTGGCCACTATCCTCACATCCCATGGCTTTATGTGAGACAGAGGCAATGACTGGCTACTTCTGTTTGAGCAGATGTTCAGGGCATCTGCCTCACACAGGGCCACAGAGGAAGCAGAAAAATGTTGGGACTTAAAGGGGACTGCATCAGCTGACAGGTAAATATTTCAGCCCTGGAACTGTTTCTTTTTATTACAGAAGCATCAGTAATAAGCAGAAGCAGGATTGTCTATTTAAATTCAGAAGTTGTCAAGCTGTAATCAGTCTGATTCTGATCGATAGTTTAGCTTTCCGAAGTCTCTCCTAAGCTCTGGTGATTGCTTGCTTCTGCCTGCTGCTGAGGAGTGTGCCTGAAAATAGTGTAAGAGGTTGCACTAATTAGATTTATGGATGCTTGTTCCTCCCTCACCAACCACTAGGAGGTTTATTGCCAGTGATGCAAGCTGGGACAGGGTATAAATATCTGTGAGTGATCTTGGGAAGCCAGTCTTCCCCTGGGCCCCCTGCCTCTGGGTGGAATGCTGTGGATTGTCTGATCCTCCTAGGTCTGCTGCCTGAGGAGGGTGACCATGTGCTTGGACTGAGGCCTGGGTTTGAGGCCTTGTATGTTGAGTCCGGGGATAGAGATGCCAAGGAACTTCAGCCAGTATAAGGAACCTGAGAAGCAGGGTAGAAGCTTGGTCCTGGACTGAACCATGTTGATTCCTCCCCAATGAGTTGGTAGCTGCAATATCCAGTATCTTACAGTCAGGAACTGAATTCACAGAATGTTGGGTTGCCAAGGTTTTTTTTATCTGTAAAGACTGTAAGTACTGTGTCCTCTTTTTGGAGTTGGCAAGTCCACGGGTGTCCTGTGCTCGAACCCTCTCTCCCGAAATTATTAAGTAAATTCCTTGCAAGCTAAATATCTGCAGCATGGAAGTCAGTTAATTGATTGCCACTGGTGGGTCGGTTACTGCTTTGGGGCAACTTTTAAACTTTGTACCCTTGACAGGCTAGGAGAGTCCAATACATTTATAGGGGTGAGCGATCTAGACCTGAAGTCAATATAAGCCTTTGTGCTCTGTTTTAAGGGACAGGACAAAATACAATAGGTGCACTTGGACCACATTATGGGATTGACTGGGCAAGTCTGGGGGGTGATTTTTGTTGTGTTGGGTGTTTTGTTTTAAATATCAAAAGAAATAACTTTAAAACTTATAGGATACATATGGCTCCCTAAGTGAACAATTAACCTTTCTGGCATACCCCTTCAAATATCATAGTACAAAGTTTAGTCACACCCTCACCACATGTCTGGTTTAGTGGATTCTGCATGTCAGAATTTCACTTTCATTTCTTTGCTGTAACAATGGCATCTGCAGATGTGAGAAAGGATCTGCTGGACTGTTCTATCTGTCTGAACATTTATACGGATCCTGTAACACTGAGATGTGGACACAACTTCTGCCGGGATTGCATTGATCAGGTGTTGGACACACAGGAAGGATCTGGAGTTTATTCCTGTCCTGAATGCCGAGCAGAGTCTGTGGAGAGGCCTGTACTGGTAAGGAACATAACTCTGTGTAACATCGCGGAGAGTTTCCTCTTTACTCAGCCAGGTCAGGAGGATACTGGAATCTTCTGCACTTACTGTGTGGACTCATCTGTCGCTGCTGTTAAATCCTGTCTTCATTGTGAAGCTTCTATGTGTGATAAACACCTGAGAGCACACAGCAAGGCACTAGAACATGTCCTAACTGAACCCACCACCTCCATGGAAAATAAGAAATGCTCTGTCCATAAGAAGATCCTGGAGTATTTCTGCATCAAGGACTCTGCCTGTGTCTGTGTGTCTTGTAGGTTGGCTGGTGAACACCGTGGACATCAGGTGGAGATGCTGGATGAGGCTTCTGAGAAGAAGAAGAAAAGACTGAGGAATGTTCTGCAGGAACTGATCACCATGAGAGATGAGATTGAGGAAAGAGTCCGGAATGTGCAGGAACGCAAGAGCAAAGTGCATAGGAGAGCAGATGAAGTAGCAGAGGAGGTCAGCGCCTTGTTCACTGAAATCAGGAGACAGCTTGAAGATCTGGAGAAGAGGGTCCTGAGTGAGGTCTCCAGGCAGAAAGATGAGCTTTCACTCTCCATCTCTGACCTATTACAGCAGCTGGAATTAAAGAAGGATGAACTGTCCATGAAGATTCATCACATTGAGGAGCTGTGCAAAATGACTGATCCACTGACTGTCTTACAGGGACCAGACATGGGTGATGCTGAGGAGGGAGATAATGAGGACAGAAAGAGACATGATAAGCAGCCCCATGATGGAGGTCATCTGGAATTGGGTTTGATTTTACAAACATTGCACACATTATTTTATATGATGCGAGGTGCCAAGATAAGGATCTATATACCAAAACCTGCAGACATGTTCCTGGATGTAAACACAGCTCATAATAATCTTCATATATCCGATGACAGGAAAACTGCAGCCTGGTCAGATATAATGAAGAAGCGCCCAGAAACGCCAAAGAGATTTCAGCGTCTTTTTAATGTATTGAGCAGCAGCAGTTTTTCCTCTGGGCGGTATTACTGGGATGTTGAGTGCAGGGAAGCATCAAACTGGAAGATAGGAATGTGTTATCCCAGTATAGAGCGGAAAGGAGACCAGTCACGTTTTGGAGAAAACAACAAGTCCTGGTGTTTGCAAAGGGCAGAAAATCTTTTTGTGGTCTTACACGGCAGCAAAGTATTCCAGTTACCTCACAAAAGTTCCAGTAACAGATTCAGGATCTCTCTGGATTATGAGGGAGGCCAACTGTCATTTTATCAGCTGAGTGAGCCGATCAGACACCTCCACACCTTCACCGCCACCTTCACTGAGCCCCTTCATGCAGCAATAAGTGTGTACTGTAGAATGAGAGGTGAGGTGTATGTAAACAATTGGGTGAGGATTGTAGAAAGTTAAAAATAAATCAGATAGAACACATGTGGTGAATATTTACTTACATCAAAATCTCAATCATTGGTAATGCCGATAATATATTTATACCCACAGCACAGGTTTCAGGTACATATGAAATATTCATGTCCCAAAGCCCAAAAATTATTTTAAAAGTATCAAAAGCCAAAACTTTTTTGTAGTTTTAGAAAGAGTGGTAAGCAGCTGAAAAGCTGGTAGTATGTGTGCTGGCACGGACACTTGAAGTCTCCTCAGGGCATATGTGACAGTGTGACTATGCAGAAGAAAATCAGGGGCCAGGAACAAAGCATTGTCACCCTATAACAGGAAGTGCTCGAACAAGGCCTTAGAGGGTTGGATCACCAAACATTATTTTAATGACAGCTGTGGATTTAAATACATTGCAAACAAATTCTGAAATGACATTAATATGTTACTGCTTATATGAGATTTTTTTTTATATCTTACAATGAACAACAGCATTGAAATAGATAATTTGTAACTTTTGCATTTGTTAGATAATCATTAAACCAAATTTAGTGGGAAGATTAGAGAACAAGATGTCTGGTTTAGACCATCTTTGATTGTTTTTCTATTGGCCGCATTGTACATAGTTATGGCCACCATGATCATATTGTATTCTTTCACTTCCTCTAACAAGCCTAAAAACTTTATATTTGTTTTCCCCAAAAAGGAAAACTCCGCTTTCAATAAAAGATAAATCGCAAACCATTTTGTAGTTTAATATTATTGAAAATCACCTTTCCATTTCAGTTTGAAGTCGCTGTAATTTTCTAAAACACTTAAAAAAATGAAATGCAATATGGCAACCTGGAGGCGTTCTGTACACGGTTGGTATACGGAATACCTGTAGAAATATAATTTGCTGCTGGCGTGATTGGCTCACTGATTTTCTCACACGTACTAACATACATGTAACATTTTTTCAAACCCCTCAATCTAAAATAGTATGCCCTAAAAAGTACTGCAATGATTGTGTATGCTTTTGTTGTTACATAATGATTGTCCTGATTCATACATGACATTCTGTTTGCCGGAAGTCAAGGGCCGGTTCACACCACAAACATACATTCCAGAGCGGTCAGCCTCTGGAATGCACTCTATCGCAACCCGGCCGGCTCCCTGCATCTTGGGGTGGGAGGGGGCATGGTGGTGCATTGAAGTCAGTGGCACCGCAGCCATGCCCCCCGCCCGCAGTATGATTGCCTGTGCGTTCGCTGACCGCTGACTGCTCTGGAACACACTGTTTGTGGTGTGAACTGGCCCTAAGAGTAAACTACTTCTAAAGGGATGCCAACACTGCAACTTTCCTCATTAGAACACTGAAAGTGCGCCAGGTGCTTATAATGGACCCAGACCCTCCCAGTCAGGAATCCTTAGGACATAGTAAAATATCTAAATCTTCTGAACAGAACAATGTTGGAATCTGCAACGCGGTTTGTTAAAATCCTTGAAATGCAAATTCATCATCCAGAGGTTGTGGCTTTTTTCTCAACAAAAGTGGAGTTACACTATAAACTCACCATAAATGTTACCATCTGATTGCGCAGATAGCTTTACCAAACCTATGTAATATACAGACCTGGCTAAACTATCCAATCCAATCAATTTGTATCCAACCATACAGACCCTAGTACTATATAGTTGTTGGTAGATCTACAGGGGATTGTACAGTCAGATTGTAACATGTGTGGTAAGCGTAATGTACATGCTACTTTGATGGTCACAGGACCATAGCTGAGCGCAGCATCTGGAGATTGTGGTCCTTCAAGTACTGTTGCATGTCTTGGTCCTTCTTAGGCTCCTGCTCCACCTGCCGGTAGAACTGCTCCAGCTTGTTGGAAATTCTGCGCTTGGATCCTGACTGCAGCAGCTGGTGTCGGTGCCATTCTCTGAGATCTGCCTCCTGCTGTCTCTGCTGTGTTTCCATCTGGCTACGGGCAGTTTCCTGGAACAAAGAATCGTTTTATGAATAGTGTGTGTGTTTAATAGCACAGATGATGGCGCTTCTCTTCACTACCATATATAATACAAGAAAGTGAAGACCCTTTCACCAACTTAAAAATTGCAGGTAAAAGCACAGAAAATCCAAGTACATTATATGCTGACTTGCAGTGTTTTTTCATTTCCATAAACAATTTCACTTGCAATTTGCCTTTGTACTCAGTAGAAAGTTTGACTTTTTCAGGAAGAGTTATCTTCCTGTATCCCCCTTGTATGTTATATCTATCTCCTCTTCTGGGAGTGTGTACATACTGTCTGTGCAGGCCTAGCTCCTCTACCCTTCCCCCTCCCTCCGTGCATAACCTTTTATATAGCTGCCAGGGATGAGAAAAGGGTAATACTTTAGATTGTCATATGAGTGACAGCTTTGAGTCTGCTCGGGCTGCTGTCATCACATTCAAGAATGCAGAACGCAGCAACTGTCTCCGGGCTTTTGGATGTCCACAAGCCAGACTTTTGCAAGTAAATATCATGTATAAAATATGTTAAGTTCACATGAAACTAATTTTATTTAATTTTGTTTTCTGAAATGAATGAACTGGAGACAGGGTCTCTTTAGGAGTATATAGACTTTTGTTTGCATCAGAACTGCTGTTCTCTCAATATGAGTCATGAGGAATGCAAAACCGCTGGAAGCTGTTATCTTGTACCAACCTGATTCAATAAAAGTGCCATGTGCAAAACATTATTATTCATAAAATATAAAAACTTATTTTTACATTAGGAAATTTAGTGAGAACGGCCTGTAAGTGATTGCCTCACCCCGGGGCTGTACCGAGGGGAGGACTGGACAAGGCTCAGTGAAAAGCGTTGTAATATCACATTGGGAAACGAACATAATTACAGATGAATCTAGCAGCGTTAAAGGAGAGTGGGATGGTGCTTCCTGAATGTTCCGTTGTTATTTGGGGGGTGTATTTACATCTCGTGTGCAGGGGGCAAAAGATCTTTTTACGTCTCTCTCTCTCATCCACTAAGTATGATGTTGCTATGCAAACCTAATATGCAAAAATGCCACCTACCTTAAACTCCTTTCTGAATGGTGAGGGTGAGAAGGGATTTAATGGCATGATAATGTGACAGTGCTATAAACTCACCTTCTGCCTCTCTTCCTGTTCGTAGAATTTCCAGCTCTTCTCCACCTCTACGCTCTCTCTCTGCTGCCGGTGCTCTCTCCAGTACTTCATTCTGTCCTCCTCTTTCCTCCACTCCCTCCCCATATCTTCATCCTTCTTCCTGCTCCTCTCTTCAGCCACTGCCCTGCGGGTCTCAGCCTGTTGGGCCTCTAAGCCCTCTTGGTTCTGTCTCCTCTCCAGGTCAAGTAGAACTCTTTGCTGTGAATGTAGTCTAAAAATATGTAATATCTTTAAAGCAAAAATAAAAAAAATAAAGCCAAATACACAGTTTTCTACTGAACTACTAATAAAGGTGCCCTACTGTGAAGCATTTAAAACTCTACCCTATATGGACAATTTACCGGGTTATAGTGAACAGACATGGGAACAGGGAAATGGTTCTGGTCAAGCTGGAAAGCAAAACTGTACCCCTTGGCCCAACAAAAACCAGGGAGTAGGAGATGCAGGGATGGACTTGTGATGTCAAAACAACTAAGGATATTCAGCATAGAAAGTCATATTGTGTTCTTGTGAAGAAAACATCCAATGTATGGGATTTTGAGTCTTATGTATGATTCATACTGTAAGCAGAATTTTACAGTAATGGCAGAATTTTACTGGCAGACAATTTTCCTACCTTCTGCTGTCTTGCAATGCGTCTTCTCTCTCTTCCATCTCCTTGAATTTCTCCTCCCTCCTCCTCTGTCTCTCTTCTGCCTGCATCCTCCATAGTTTGGTCTTTTCTGTTTCCTTCTTCTCTCTCAGCTCTTGGTTGCTCCATGCCTTTGCTTCGTAGTTCTAAAGGAATCGAAATTATTATTACAGTTGTAGAACAGCAAGAAACTGAAGATAGCCAAAGATATGCAAGAACAAGCTTACACCATCCAAATGAATATAATATTTTTTTTCTTTTAATGAGATCATTTATATAATGATGATCTCTTTTACATAATATCTCAAATAAATAACTGAAAGACTATGCATTTCTTTTAAAGGGCACCTGTGCGCTAATCAGATAATACATATGTTATATTGTATGATGTTAGGATACTTCTGAACACATCCAAATAGTCACAAATCTTAAAGTGTATCTAAACCCAAGAGCAAAAATGTTATATGTTGCAGCATCCCAGTACTTGGATAAGGAGGCTGCATCTCTTTTCAGGCCCCCCCCTCCTTTTTTTCACCTGCCGATCCTACCAGTAACACACTTCCTGTCCTAGGCTGACAACACTCACTTACCGTACTGTATATATGGAGCAGTATCATTGTCGCTCCACAACAGGAATATAATACCCCTCATTCCATAACAAATGGGGGATGTGCTTTAGTTCAGAGACAGAAGTATACAATGCTAACTGATTGTAGTCAGTACAGACAGCACAGGAAGTTATCATCTCACAAGATTTTGGCAGGATCAACAGTTTTTTGTTTGCACTTATTAAACAGATATATCAAAACACTTTTAATAGCATATTTTACAGACCGACCAAAAGGAAGAAAATAAAGAAAATTATTAGAGTTTACATATCATTTTATATAAACCATTTATCTGCAGCATGTTTGCTGAAACCTTACATCTCAAGCTTTCAGCATTAGTAATTCTGAAAAGAGAACCTGATCTGGCTTCAAGTAACACCATGCTAAAATGCAGAGAACTTACCACACCTGCAAATATCTGTGCTAGTCTCCAAAATAATTCCTGTGTTCTCGTGAAAACTCCTGGATTCTACAACTTTGAGATTAAGCCCCATTCCTCTTGGTGCACCCTGTCATTCAATCAAATGCTAGAACATGAAATGGAAGTAGAGGTCAGGCGTTTGACTTGAGTTGAATTACATGGGGTGGGGCTTAGCAGTGTAAGGGCCAGGACTTAATATAGACTTAGGCAGATGTCAAGTTCCTTAGGATCAAAGAACTCAGGGACATAGACTTAAAGTAGTTATCCTTTAACAGTGCAGCCCAATTACCCCCCTCTTCCTAAAGTCGAGAACTCACCTCTACTTGCTCCTGTGAGATCTTGGGCAGCCCCGCTGTGAAGTCTCAGAACCAGGCAGATTCTTCTTCTGTGCAGAACAATTCTCTGTCTCTCTGGAGAGACTGTCTACCTCCCATATACATAATAGACAACCTCTCAATAGGAAGAAATTGAGACTTTCAGTGCATGGGCCAAGAAACAAGCTGCATGGTCTGGAGACTTTGTAGCGTTGGTTGTGCAGCATCAGGTGACCTGCAGAGTGAAGATCTGGCAGGAATGTTGACAAGTGAATTTGAGGATCTGGGAACAGCGGTGTGCTGGTACATACAGTAAATTTAAGTAATAAGTAAGTTGCATTATATTTAGAAGAATTGTATTGCCAAATGTATCTAATAATGAAATTGTGTTGGAAATCAGGGAAACCTACTAACAATCCAATCTAAACTCTTCCTAAACCTCCAGAAAATACTCCATCTCGCTAGCCGGCAACTGGGGCTGTCCCTAAAATAGGGCAGCTGGAGGCGGTTGCCTCAGGCGGCATCTCACTGGGTCATGTGGTCACCTTAAACATGAACAGCTCTTATTTGGTCCAGTTTAGTCCGTAAAATATACCATTAAAAGTACCTGTTGATCCTGTGAGAAATCTAGTGACCTGATAACTTCCTGTGCTGCCTATTATCTATTACATTGTCCTCAGCTACCTCTGAAGATTACAGAACCACACTCCTCTATGTTATTGAAAATAGGAGAGGGGAGGGATTTCATATTTTGTTTCTGTTGTCATAATACATCATTCGAGTGCTAAAATGTTGTTGAATTGAGTTCTGTTGAGCAAAAAAATCCCAAAACAGGCCAACATAAGACATTCAAACACATTTCACCCTTCAGTGCATCGAAACAATATATACTGTATGTGTATAAGCAAAAATTCCAATTGTGTTTTGAACTCACCAATTTGAGAGGAGCGGAGCGCGGTCGGCGCTCAAGTAAAGCAGATTCCATAGCCTTTCGGTCCTCTTTCATTGCCTGATTGATACGCTCCAACGTGGCCCGGAGATGTGTCATGTTGTTCAGTCTCGAGGGATTATACGAGGAAGGCATTGAATCATCTAATAAAGAAGTAATTATAAACAGTAAGTTTGTAAAGGCCTTGTCCAGACTGCGCCGAATGACGTACAGAATCCAACGTAGGTTTTATCCATTGCTTGATTGCAGTGGCGTAACAATCGCCATAGAACCCCAGGCGGCCGCTATGGGGCCCAGGGCACAAGGGGGCCCGGCCAAGACATCCCCCTGATGCCGTGTGGGCCATCTGGGTCGCTATGGCATCTCAGGCTGCTTGCTGTCACTGACGGGTGTGAGGAGGAACGTGTCGCTGTTAGATAAGGGACAATCTCATTTCAGATTAGTAAACTAAAAATGAGATTGTAGTTCATGACAGGAGCGAGCTTGGAGCTTTGACTACTTTACAACACACAGGGACCACGGGGAACAAAAGTAGCCACCCTCCAGAAGGGAGGACAGTGTCAGCACCAATTCAGAGATGATTTGAGGATCTACAGCCCAGTGATACACACATAAGATACATTTTTGTTAATAGTTCAGGTACCTGAATGTATTTTTAAGATTTAACTCCTGAGTTTAGTGTGACTTTAAGTCTATGGGCCTGCCAAACAGAAAACAATATACTGTACATCCTGTGTGGCTTATATTTTACCTCAACGGTTGTTAAAGGATAACTAAACCCAACAATAAAAATGTAATATATTGCAGCTTACTAGTGGTGGCTGCATGTATTTATATTTCAGGCTTAGAACATTTTTAGTAAGTACAAAAAATACCTGTTTATCTTGCCAGAAATGCAGTGTCCTTGTCACTTCCTATGATATGAACTGAAAGCACATATAATTTCATACTTCCCATGTAAACTGCTAATCGTATCACTCTCTATGTCATTAAGGTAAATAAAGGCAGACATGTTTGAAGTCCAGTATGGGTGACAACCATGGCTCCCTCCATAGATACAATAGAGGAGTCAGCTTTGTCACCTTAGTAAAGGAAGTATGTTAGTGGTAGGATCACCAGGTGAAAATAAAGGGGATAGAAACTTTAAAAAAAGAAAACTAAAACTAATGCAGCCACTACATCTAATGATGGGTGAGATGCCATTATTATATTTTTGTTTATGCATTTTGATATGCTTTACAGTTAGGCAGAGCCATTGTAGTATCTGATGGAACAGATCTATAGTGATTAAAATACAAACCTCTCTATTAGAATTTATTTTGAGGTAAACACTGCAATTTTACCCAAAATATGTGTTCACTGAAAATACACGTGAGCTAAAGCAGAGACACCGGCACTCCAAATTTGCAAAATACAAACGTTTCGGGGTCACAAAGGATCCCTTCATCATGAAGGGGATCTTTTGTGACCCCGAAACGTTCGTTGTTTTTTACCACGATGCATGTCAATAAATAGACGTATTTTGCAAATTTGGAGTGCCGGTGTCTCTGCTTTAGCTCACGATTGTTACGGCTGCCACCCGTTGACTACCGCAGCACCCAATTCTTGAAGGGATTCACGCGGTCAGGAGTGCGATGGGACCATGGACTATCACTGAAAATACACATCACTTCCTATTAAAAGTAATTAGGTCACGTTACAGTTAGATAAACTTACAACCTATTTATGGAAAGCTAAGACACATGATTACCGTCTGTTGTTTTCAAGGCAGATTTGATTGGACTGCTGTCTGATCTTCTCATTCCTTCTGTCTGGGTGTCTCTGTTACAGATAACATGTTCTTTCTGAAACAAAACAGAAAAGTTACTATTGGCAGAATGCCAGGGCCCGGTCGCAATTGCGACCGCTGCGACCCTGGTAGTTCCGCCAGTGGGTTCAGTAGAACCGAAGGGGTGCTGTACGGGCTACTCACTATAGCCCGTACAGCTCCCGAACTTGGCCGAGCGGTTGCAGGAACTGGTGACTGGAGTGCTGGTATGAGATGTGTAGGAGTACAGCTGTCAGGACACAGAGGACACACTGATCTCACATACAGACCAAGGGCAAGGATCAGTAACAGATGAGCAGCAAAGCACCAAATTGTTAGTGGAATCAGAGTTGTGGACAGGCAGAGGTCAGCAATGTGCAGTCCTGAGGTACAGAGTAGACAAGCAGAATCCTGGTCAGCAGTGCAGGCTGAGGCCGGTAACAAAGATAATCAGCAAACATCAGCAGACAAGGGAAGTCCAAAGGGGAGGTTAGAAGGAAGTTGGGTCAGTAACAAAGGCCAGGCACAAGTTTAGAACTGCAGATTACAGGTCACAGAAGTACAGCTGAAAAACCATCCTGTACCGGTGGTCTAAATAGAACATGCCATGAGATGCAAATGTGAACGCACATGCATAGATGCATGGCCTGCTATGCTTCCATGCACTGAAACATGTATATGTGCTTGTGCTGAGCCAGTTAGATGGCACTATCTACCCCATAGCTCCACAGGTCACTCAGTGTCACGTCTGCAGTTTTTACAATAGTGGATCTCAACTGCGGAGTAATAGGATCAATCAGATACGAATCTCAGGCATCACTCACAATCTCAACGGTGAGTTTGAGATTCTACCATCACGTGATCAAAGGAAAAACAACACAATTCAACACAGTACTATTGCTTCATAGACTGTGGGTTGGTAGTTGAAACACTAGAATGCAGTGGCTGCGGCAGGGTTAAGAGCGGATACTCAGTAAGTCTAATACACAGTTCATATCAGCCTGCAGGCAGGCAGAGGAGAGGTGCTCTCTCACAGATAGGGTACTTGCGATTGGCAGTAGCTGAGTGATGGCTGAGACTCCCAGGTGACTCCAGTAGCAGAACTGAGCAGGTCCGTCTTCCAGATGGCAGCAGGATGAGAAGGGTCCGGTTGGTGACAGTCCCATACACAGGTTCGTGAGGCAGCAGGCGTTCAGACAACAATCACAGAACGCCATGCTGCCTCATCAGTGCCCTTAAATAGGGCCAGGAAGTGAGGAGGGATCGCTGATTGGTCCGGACGACTTCCGCGTTCCACCGTGGAACGCAGCCGCCGCGTCACAACCCGGAGTTTGTGCGTCTTCCGCGTTCCACGGTGGGATGCAGAGGACCGCGGCAGACAAACAAGAGGCTGCCCCGTCGGTGGCATTACACTCAGTCACCTTAATCTATTCACCATGAACCCCAACCATTTGACAGTTCACCTCTTCAGTCATGTGACTAAAAAGAATAAACACACGTTCCAGACTTATCCACCCCAGCAGATAGGAATGAGATGTAATTAAAGGAGATGCAATTAAACAGACTTTCAAATGCTCACAGCTCCCATCATGTTCATAGACAATCACCATCTGCCTTGACATAGTGGTTGGTTTAAGATGAGTGACCTGTGTGGCTATACATTTTGGGTTTGTTCCTGACGCTCATTACAGCTGAAAAAGCTATTGGAATTAGTAGCAAAACATCTTCAACATTTCAGAACAAGTCCAGTCAAATGTGACTCACTACTACTAGCTAGAAAAAGGTGATAACTTCTCATAAAAGTTTCATAGCTGTTATATCATAACACAGGGCTGGACAAATCCCAGGAGGCAGGCAGCCAAAGCTCCTTAACATTTATAGCTGGCACCTAACTTTTAGGGTTTTCTCTAGTTGTTGTCAATTAAGCTGTAGATACATTACGGAGAGTTGGCGTTGTCACCCTAGGATGACAATCCTGATTCTAGGATGAGGGTGGGAATACCTAGTCACTGGAGCAGCAGGTCTACATTCCATTTTAAGTGGACATTACCTTTAAGCAAAGAACATTTTAGATGACTTCCTCTGTAATCCAACCTACTGCTTACCTGCTTCTGTTGCTGAGATCCTTCCCTCTCTAGTAGGACTCTCCTCTGAGGTTTAGCCTTGTCTTTGGTGTGGACAGTCTTTGAAGAAACATTTTGTTTAAGCTCCTTCTTCTTGTCTACTTTTTTGGCCAATTTCTCCTTGGCTGAAGTCGTATTGTTGATATGGTTCAGGGAGTTTCTCAGAGCTGCCCACAGCTCCTCTGGTACATGGCACCTCTGACAAACATAAGGTCCAGAACGGCAATACAAACACTTGTCGGAGCCGAGTGTAAGAGTTGCTTCTTCGGCCTGGCACTGGGGATGTTTATAGCCGGTCCCTATGAAAGGGAACCCGGGGCAGGACTCCATCAGCTTCTTCCGGGCTTCCAATGGGATGTGGAGCTCCAGAGTGATGCGGTCACTTAAGTCCTGTGGTATCCAGACGGAGAGGCCAGCGGGAACTTGTTTGGTCTTTCCGTTCCAGAATGTTACGAGAACTCCATTGCTATCAAAAGCTAGAGAATATTAGAGGTGTTAATATTCTTATTATGTAATTTTATTTACAAAGACTTTGTTATTAAAGTGAAAGTAAAGTTCCGCATAAGAAAATATAATAATTTTTTTTTTTTTAGTTCTAAGCCCCCCGCCATGCTTCTTCCTCTGTTTGTCTCTCTTTATCAGACTGAATAATGACCAGTCCACCTACTGTAATGCCAGTCTGTCATGGACCGAGCAGCGCTCACACTTCATGACAGGAGCATGGCTCAGTCCAGGAGGAAGGACCGCTCTAAACCACTGTGACTGTAATTACGCTTTGAAAGGCAAAGTGCTGTCAGTTAGATACACTTTAATGCATGAGATAATATAAGCTTTTGGAGCACCAAGGTCCCTACTGTATTTGGAGAGACTTCTGACAAAACTCTTCTTGCTTTTAAAATACAAACCATAACAATACCTAGGCCTCTGTCTCGGTTCTCTGCTCCTCTTAAAATGGTTCCTGGTCCGTACTGCTCCATACCGGTATCCAGCGGTGCCAACACATGGTCTCCAGGAACTAAAGGCCTCCATCTTGCATCCTCATAATGGATGATGTCACAGACGGGTGTCTCCTGCATGCGGAACTGAGCTTTTCCCTTGAAAGCATGACATTTCTCAAACTCCACAAGAAAACGGTCCGGAGAGCCCTGAGTGATACAAAAAGAGAGAGGGGTTAAAGAACATGGTCCATAGATAAGCGAGGAGGATGGAGAGGGTTGGAGATCACCAGCAAGTCAGGTTTAGCCCCAGCTCAATAACTTACCTCCACTTCACAAGCAATGTGTCCCATGTAATACAGTGCATCTCTCTCCCTGCGGGCCAGGACTCGGGCTCCCCTCATAAGATGCACAGCTGCTGGAGTCCTGGTGATTGGGGCTGAATTTGAGGGACAAATTCCTGGAGTTTCTGGAGTCCTGGAGGTTACACTGCAGCTGAGTGGTGGCCTACAATATATACGTTTAGTATTAGGGTAGAGCGGTGAACCACAGGGGAAGGTTAATCATTAGAAAAAAGGGGATTAAACCAAAACTGATTTATAAACATTTTGTCCAGTGTATAGCTGGGTGAATGTCATTTATATGGCATTACCACCACTAGATAGAGCCGAGGAGCACAGGATTTCCTATGGTCCTCAGCTCCATGTGCTGTGCAAATGGCATCCACCCTGTATCTATATGTATTATATATATACTGTATATATAGACTGCTGAACCTGCCAACGGATTTGTATTTATGTCCATTCAGTCTATTAATCTGATCATCTTCCTCTTTCCAGTAGTTTTCAGTAGTCCCTCCAGCGCTGGTGCCGGTCTCTGATCCAGCACTGACTGCTGTGTCTTCTGTGTCCCATGGAGTCTGTCCGATGTGCATGCTGCTGTGCTGTGTGCATTGACTTACCCTGTGTCTCTCCTATTCTCCTGGCCGAAGATCTCTACTGCGCATACGCCCGCCCCATTATCCTGCTCAGCTGATCAAGAATCTTCAAATCTTCGGACGGGAGCGAGCGGCCACAGAGGTAAGTAAAACCCTTTTTTGGTAACCTTTTTTCATTTTTTTAAAAATGTTTCAGCATATATCTACTGCTGGCAAGCAATAAAAAGAGTTTAATTATACTTTAAGCATCACTTGCGGGTCTTGTCCCTACCCCAGCCTGTAACTGGACAGTGAAAGGAGAAGCAGCACAGTGATGAGCTCATTTCTCTGTCACTCTGATCTCTCCTCCTATTAGCAGGCTTTTTGTGAGTACAAGAACTGTTTGGCTTATTGTGCTGCTTGTTCCCCTCACACTCCAGCCCTGTTGTACAGATAATGAGCTCATCTCTCCCTCATTCTACTTTCTCCTCCTATTAACATGCTTCTTGTTAGCACATGAGCACTGAAGTACAACTGACTGGCTCCTTGTGCTGCTACTCCCAAGGGGACTGCCAAAAGCCAAGTCAAATTCACCTACTTACGCTACTTGCATGAAAAAAAAAAATACATTGAATTATGTTTTAACAAATACAGTTTTATATTAAGTTCTTTGTTTTTTCACGGGACAATTATACAGTATAGGATACTTATTTAAAGAGGCAACCTCCCACTTTGTCTACACTCATTTGTGTCTTTTATTGTATATCTGCCTAAAGTTCATCTTTGATTAGTACATAGCTATAGAGTAGACATACCAGAGCTCTGTAGAGTGGACTGTAGAGGCTGTACAGGGTGACGGGATCTGACAGCAGTGACTCATCCCTATATTCTCCGCACTTCTTATCTAAAATCACACAAATATGAATTTATTGGTGCGACATCTAATACAAATTCATCACTCATTCGCTTTCATCACTTAAAACTAATTTAAAGACAAAGCGGTTTAGCTGGACTTTTTGCAAAGGCCAGTAAGGATGACATCTCTCCTTCAGTAAAATATTATTAATAATGCTTTATATTGTGCCATCATCATTTGTTGCGCTGTGCAGTATGACACGGATGAGTATGAGGGACACAGCTCTGGATAATTCAAGACATGGGGTTATTCCATTTCATAAAATTGCAGAAAATTCAAAAATGGCTTGGCCAGCCGATTTGAAAAATGTTCCGGAGGGCTTGGCAGCGAAAGGGTTAATGGATGATAGAGACATTTTGGATTTCACATCACTTTTTGTTGCAGTGACAATGGTGACCAAGACAAACATAGAAACAAAGAGATCTTCCCTCACTTCCTGTCAAGGTGACAACGGTTTCACCACACAGGAAGTGAGGGAAAATCACTGACAAGCACACAGACAACAATAAAAAGCAGACGGGGCTTCTAGCCATCTTACTACTGTACTAGAAATGCATTTTTTTCTGTCTTTGTTGCAGACACGGTAATTGCCTACTGCCTGTCTGGTGCAACTGTGTTCACTGGGGCAGTAATAAAAGAAGGGGGGGGGATCTGTCTAATAGAACATGGGATAGCAGAAAAACTTGACAGGGGTTCTAAACCTTCCCTACTCTGTACAAAACAGAGTGGATATACACTTTAATTTACAGCAAGTTCCCCTTGGTGTCCATCACTGTAACTTACCATTCTGGAAGGTCCGAGAGGCTTTAGATGAATCTCACGGAATGACCCCTCCACCTGGCTGTCACGGGGCTCTTCTGTGAGGTACACCACACTGACAGCACAGGCGCTCTCATTCCGGGCAAGGAAACTGTAGAGATCTGTCAGCACATTGGGCGGAAGGGCATCCATCACTAAGTATACAGTTTTGCACACTGGATCCTCTAATGCTGCAGCCAAGGCACCAGTAGGGCTGGCTCCTGACCCGCAAACCAGACCTCGGGTCCATGAAATGGCTTGTGCCACGACGTCCGGCCTCCATGTCACAGCACAATCACACCACTTACTAATCTAGTAGATAAAAGAAAAGAAAGATTAAACCGAGACGCCATTGCACAGGCAAGATATGTGTTATATATGAAGTATGGTCTCATCAGTTTTTTTAAACATATACATGACAAAAAGAGATCAGCTCGATGTCAATAAACTTATCAATATGTTAAGATTTTAAAGGACAAGTACATGTTAAAACACAGTGCACTTATCCTTTAGGCACGTCACCGCTCCCTCCCTCCCTGAATACCTACCGAGTTCTGACAGTCTCGGCTTCTGCTGTTTTTTTACATCCTGCAGCAGACATCTTCTTTTCCAGGCCGCGCCTGCACAGTACATCCCCATTGACTTCTATGAGACTTGTCTACCTCTGTCTCTCTGTCTATCAGATGGGAGATGAGCCATGTAGAACATCAGTAGGGATGTATGCGCATGTGCCAGGGAAAGATGTCCATTGCAGGAAGGGAAGGAGTGGCGATGTCACCTTAAAGGTGCCTAAAGGAGGAGTGTTATAAAGTGTACTTATCCTTTAAAAACCTTGTTACTCTGTTAAGTTTGTTGTGGTTAGCACTTCTGCCTTTCAGCACTGCAGTCCTCAGTTTAAATCTCAGCCAGGACACTATCTGCATGGAGTTTGCTCCCTGTGCTTACATGGGTTTCCTCCAGGTACTCCGGTTTCCTCCCACACTCCAAAGACATGCTGGAAGGGTAATTGGCTCCTGTCTAATTGGCCCTGTATGTATGCAAGTGTGATAGAGAGAGACCCTAGATTGTAAGCTCCTTGAGGGCAGGGACTGATGTGAATGTGCTGTGTAAATTTTTGGTGCTATATAAAAATGCCGGTAATAATAATAACGTACATGAAAGCAGCCAAACTTGCTCATTACATAGTCAGATTCTGCCTCCTGCTTTGCAGTGCTACACGATGGTTGTACTTAACTCCATTTTCTTACAATACAAGTTTATCAGTCTGCAAACTTACTGAAAACAATGCACTCCCTGTGTGGCTGGTATCTCATCTGCAGCCCAACTCTGGGCTCTCCCCTTTGTCTCCGCTTCCGCTTGGGATCTTCTCCAGTGGTGGGCAGTCAATGCAAAAAGCGTCACTGACGTCACTACCGCTCTGCATCATTACTCTGTCAGTGCAGGGCATCTTAGTCACACCCACTCGGGGGGCGGGTCCATGACATCCTGCACGCACAATATCTCTTCAGTCTTCCAGGTCAGACAAAGGTGGGCTGGAAAGCTGAGGACATCTTGTAGCAGAGAAGAGGAACTGCAGGGGACAGCACCAGAGAGGAAGTCAGTATTACAACCATAGCTGCTTTTTGTTTGTTATTTTTACTGGGGGACATCTACCTGGCCTCTAATGAGTAATCTCTCCCTGGCCTCTAATGAGTCATCTCTACCTAGCCTCTAATGAGTCATCTCTACCTGGCCTCTAATGAGTCATCTCTACCTGGCCTCTAATGAGTAATATCTACCTGGCCTCTAATGAGTAATCTCTACCTGGCCTCTAATGAGTAATCTCTACCTGGCCTCTAGTGAGCAATCTCTACCTGGCCTCTAGTGAGCAATCTCTACCTGGCCTCTAGTGAGCAATCTCTACCTAGCCTCTAGTGAGCAATCTCTACCTGGCCTCTAGTTAGCAATCTCTACCTGGCCTCTGGTGAGCAATCTCTACCTGGCCTCTGGTGAGCAATCTCTACCTGGCCTCTGGTGAGCAATCTCTACCTGGCCTCTGGTGAGCAATCTCTACCTGGCCTCTGGTGAGCAATCTCTACCTGGCCTCTGGTGAGCAATCTCTACCTGGCCTCT